TTCTGCATTCAAATTCGACCTTCCAAAATGAATCACTTCACACTTTTCTGGGTTGAATTCCATCTGCCACTTCTTTGCCCAGCTCTGCATCCTGTCAATGTCCCGTTGCAACCTACAACAGCCCTCCACACTACCCACAACTCCACCAACCTTCGTGTCATCAGAAAACTTACTAACCCACCCTTCCACTTCCTCATCCAAGTCATTTATAAAGATCACAAAGAGCAGAGATCCCAGAACAGATCCCTGCAGAACATTACTGGTCACCGACCTCCAGGCTGAATACTTTCCATCTACTGCCACCCTCTGTCTTCAATTGGACAGCCAGTTTTATATCCAGACAGCCAAATTTCCCTGGATCCCATGCCTCCTTACTTTCTGAATGAGCCTACCATGTGGAACCTTATCAAACACTTTGCTAAAATCTATATACACCACATCCACTGCTCTACCTTCATCGATGTGTTTTGTCACATCCTCAAAGAATTCACTAAGGCTTGTGAGGCATGACCTGCCCCCCTCAAAGCCATGCTGACTATTTCTAATCAAACTGTGCTTTTCCAAAAAATCATAAATACTATCTCTTAGAATCCTCTCCAATAATTTTCCCACCACAGAAGTAAGACTGACCGGTCTGTAATTTCCAGGATTATCCCTGTTACCTTTCTTGAACAAGGGAATGACATTTGCCACCCTCCAAAATTCTGGTATTACTCCAGTGGACAGTGAGAATGCAAAGATCATTGCCAAAGGGGCAGTAATCTCTTCCCTCGCTCCCTGTAATAACCTTGGGTATATCCTGTCTGGCCCAGGAGACTTATCTATCCTCATGTTTTTCAAAGTTTCTAGCACATCCTCCTTCCTAACGTCAACCTGTTCAAGCATATCTGCCTGTTTCATGCTGTCCTCACAAACGTCAGGTGAATTCTGAAGCAAAGTTTTGATAAAGTCCCACAGAGGAGATTAGTAAATTAAAGGTAGAGCACATTACGTTGCAGAGAATATAGTATTCATAGTACAGATTGTGAATTGGTTAATTGAGATTAAAAATAAATGGACCATTCTCAGAATGGCAGTCTGTGAAGTACTGCAAGGATCAGTGCTGTGTCTGGAGTGATTCACAATCTAAATAAACAATGTGTTTGTTGGGACCAGTTACAATATTTCCAAATTTACTGAAGACATCAAAATGAGTGGGAAAGCAAGTTGAGAAAGGAGCAAGGAGGCTTTGAGTGAACTTGGATAGGCTAAATGAATGTGGTAGAACATGGCAGATGGAATATGATGCAAGTAAATGTGAAGTTTTCCACTTGGTCGAAATAATAGGCAGAATGATGAGTTGGAAAATGCAGGTGTCTAAAGGGATGTGGGTGTCCTTGTCCACGAATCTCTTAAAACTTAGCATGTACGTATAGCAACCAATGTAAAAGGCAAACAGTATGTTGGCTTTCCTTTCAAGGGTACTTGAGTACAGTAGTAAAGATATTTTGCTGTGGTTGTCTGATGCTCACCTCACCTAGAGAAGGATTTTTTGGTCTCCTTATCTAAGGAAGGATATATTTGCCGCAGAGGGAGTGCAGCGGAGGTCACAAGATTAATCCTTGGATTGTGGAGTTGTTTTATGAAGAGAGGTTGAGGAGACGGGGCCATGTATCCAAAGAATGTGAGATGTTGAAACTTGTAGCATGTGACAGGGTGGATATTGGGATTTTTCCCTTGGCTGTTGATTCTAGTGCTGGGGGCATAAAGGTCAGTATAAGGGGCAGGCCAAGTACGATTGATTTGGGGAGGAATTTCTTGATTTAGAATCTGTAATTCTCCTTTCCTAGAGAGCTGTGAAAGCAGGCTCAAGACTCAAATCTGGAGACAAATAATAAGATTTACAGGATGTGTAGGGAAAATGGAGTAGGAGTAGCGTTGCTAGATTAGAAACAACATTGCTTCAGTGGTGAGCAAGGATATAACAAGGGGAAAGCATTCAGTGGAGACAGAATGCGTGGAACTGAGGAGCAATAAAGGACTAAAACTTTGAGTTAAACACTAAACAAAAGAACAAAATAACTATGAGAAATCAAACAAAAACAAATTGCTGGAAAAATTTGTCATGTCCAACAGCATCTGTGGAGTTGTTATGATAGAAGCCCATGTGATGACAAGGCCTGATGTTTAGGGGTTGGTGTAAGGACATGGGTGGTGGGGGGAGTGCTCGGGCCCAAAAATTATTGAACTCGATATTGAATCCAGAAGACTGCAATGTCCCCAAGTGGAAAATGAGATGCTGTTCTTCCAGCTTGTGCTAAGCTTCGCAGGAGCACTGCAGCAAACCTCAGACAGATGTTGGCCAGGGAACATAGTGGTGCATTGAAGTGGCAGGCAATAGGAAGCTTGTTCATTTTTCCGAACAGAAATTTGGAGTTCTGTGATGCAGTTGCCTAGTCTGCATTTCCTTTCCCCAGTGTAGAGGAGGCCACATTGTGAGCAGCCAATACTGTAGATTAGATTGAGTGAAGAATTGGCATATGTTTCTGGTGGTAGCATCCTGCTGGAGGTTGTGGAAATGGTGGCCAATGATCCTTTGGATGTGGATGTTCGTGAGTGGTAAGTCAGGACAGGGAGACCCTATTGCTGTTGTGGGAGGGAAGAGAACCGGTGATGGCCGAAGTGTGAGAAATGGGTCAGACATGACCTTTGTAATGTTCTGCTATCATCTACACAGTCTACAATGCTATCTAACTTTGTGTCATCAGCAAATTTGGATATATGACTTTATTTATTAGTGACTTGGATAATAACATATAGAGAACATATGTGAATGGAGACCTAAACATAGATCCTTGTGGGACATCATGATCACATCCTGCCTAGTTCAGTATCTACTTATTGTCCTTACTACCTTTTGACACCTGCCACTCCACCAATTTCTCAACCATGTCAGTAATTTGGCCTTAATTCCGTGGGCTTCTGCCTTAGTTGTTAATCTCTTTGTGGAACCTTATCAGATGTCTTCTGAAAGTCATAGATTCATAGAAACCCTACATTGTGGAAACAGGCCCTTTGGCCCAACAAGCCCACACCAACCCTCAGAGCATTCCACCCAGACCTATCCCCCTATAACCCACCTATTGTACACATCCCTGAACACTACAGACAATTTAGCCTGGCCAATCCACATTTTTGGACTGTGGGAGGAAACCAGAGCACCCAGAGGAAACCCATGCAAATGCAGGGAGAACATGCAAACTCCGCACAGACAGTTGCCTGAGGGTGGAATTGAACTCGGGCCCCTGGTGCTGTGAGACAGCAGTACTAACCACTGAGCCACCGTGTCACCATATGAACAACATCCGTAGACATTCCCCTGTCCACTACCTTGGTCACCACTTCATTGAGGTTTGTCAGGCGTGACATTCCTGTCATGAATCCATGCTGGCTCTCATTGATTAACTGAAAATTTTTAAGGTGTTCTGTAGGTTGCAACAATTTACCCACCACAGACTTTGGATTAACCAGTCTGTACTTTCCTTGTTCTCCACTTTCGGTCTTATCATAGATCATAGAATCCTTGCAGTGTGGAAACAGGCCATTCAGCCCATCAAGTCCACATCAACCCTCTGAGGAGCATCCCATCCCATCGCACCTAGCCTGGACACTATGGGCAATTTAGCATGGCCAATCCAATTAATTGTACATGTTTAGACTGTGAGAGGAAACCGGAACATCCAGAGGAAACCCATGCAGACATGGGGAGAATGTGCAAACTCCACACAGACAGTCACCCAAGGCTGGAATTGAACTCGAGTTCCTGGCGCTGTGCTGCCCTTCCTAAAAAGCAGAGTGAATGGGCAATTTTCCAATCCAGAAGGACAACTCCTGTATTAAAAGAACTCTGGAAGATTATAGTTAGGTCATCTACAACATGCTCCCCTACTTCCTTTATCAACTGTCAGGTCCTGTCCAGGATTTGTCACTTTTTCATTCTATTAATTTTGCCATTATTGATGTTTTACTTGCATTAATTTTATTCAGTCCTCCTTCCTGATCTACTGTCAATTACCTCGTGACTTCTGGCAAACTATCCTCTTTTTCAGGCAAAGTAATTGTTCAACAAATGTCCTCAATTTCTGTCTTTAGTGGGCAGTGTTGCTCCTGACCACCTGCTTTCCCTTATATGTAACTACAATATTTCTTCTCATTGATTGTGCTGTCCCTGCCAAGTTTCTTTTTATAATCCCTTTTAGTAGCTCTTCTAAGCTGCTCTGTGGCCCTTTGCTGATCTTTGTATCTTTCCCATTCAACAGGATCTATGTTTTTTTTCATGCATTTTCATAAGACCTTTTAGCTTTATGCCATACTATTAACTGATGTGTTAACTTAAGGAAAGATTTATATTTGAGTAGTGTCTATCACACCTTCAGTACATCCCAAAGTGTTTGCAGTAATGAAGTACTTTTGACGTGCCTCCACTGTTCTAATGTAAAGGATACAGCTACCGTTTTCAGTATACACTCCAACAAACAGTCATGTGATACTGACCAGTTCATCTGTTTTACTGCTGTTGATCAAGGGATAAATAATTAGCACACTGGGGAGATCTCCTCTAGGAAATTACTGATGTGGAATCTTTGACATGCACTGCGGGGCAAATTATACCTTCAGTCTAACGTCTCATCTGGAGGACGGTACCTCCCATCAGTGCAAGAACACTGCACTGGAGCATCAGCTTGGATTATGTGCTTCAAGGCTACCGTGGCTACTATGTTCTGATTCACTTAGTCTTTTTTTTCCCAATAGTTTAGGGTAAGCATTAGAGGCTTTTGATGTCTAACTTGGCCTGTTGTGTCTCCTAACTGTTGGAGAGCTTCAGTTAGTAAATCCTGTATGAAATATTCACTTTCAACAACTTAAAACTATATAAGTGCTTACTAACAATCTGATGTTGATGCTTATTTTCTTTGGAATGCTTATTCCTTGCATTCTAATTTATTATTTTATTTTGTTAGGTATGGTTATGTAGACATCACTGGACTTTACTGCAGAGGACGAGGCAAGTGCCACTATTGCCTTCTATCATCTTCAGGCAACAGCTTAGCTCTCAGCCCATGAGGTATGTTATACAAGACAAGGTGCATATTCTTGTATTAGAAACAGGAAAACATCAGACAGGAAATGTCACCTGGTCTATCTAGACTGGTACATCCCACTTATGTGATTACTGAAAGCTGCATCAGCCCCTGCAAGACATTGAGAAACCGTTGAAAAACCCAATTAGAGAAAAGTACCTGGAAAAGTGTGATCCAGATTTCCCATAGTACTGAAGTAGAGTTGTGGATCATTGTATTATGAGAAGGACTGAATTAGATCCAGGTCTGGAAGAATTTGGGTGCTGGGGAGGTGGTGGTCATTTATAATTAGCTTCAGTTGTCTAGTGGTCTTAAAGGCACCCGGGAGTCAAACATTGCACCTCTACTTGAGATGGAAGAATGCGTCAGCAATGCTGATGAAATCTTTTGCTCATTTTGTTTTCCAATGTCCCTGACTCTGTTGTAGTTAGAAGATTGGTATATATGGCTGGCTGGCTAAATAGCTTCCACTTTCACCGCCACAAGTGGATATTAGGCATCTCCAGGCAGGACAGAATACTGAATATGGAAGTACACCAGTATGCAGTGATTGCCATCAAACTTGCCCTCTTGTGTTCGTGGCGATGCTGTTTACTGGGTCATGTGAGCCAAATGAATGATGGCAGTATCGCTAAACACTTGCCTCTGGTGAGGTTGTTATCAGCATGAGAAAAACGGGATATCCATGTCTGTGATGCACGGAGGCCTGCAAATGAGACTCCAAATTGACTGGGATCAGAATAGATGCTTGGAAAACCATATGCTTGCCTAGTGCTTCCGGAGATGGACAGTGAGGAAATTTTATGGAAAAAGCAGAAAACAAAAGAAGTGACTAAATGGCGGAAAAGATCACCTGCTGGAAGGCAAAAAGTGGACCTTTGTTTAAGCTATTCATTAGTTAGCCCCTACAGCCACTACCGACTATGTTCAAATCAGAGGTGATAGACTGCACCCAGGGTATATATCATTTCACGAGACAGAGAAATGGCACTAATATGTCTCACTGCTGAGAATTATTGAAATTGAGAACTTGCCAAGTTTTGCTGCATTATGAAATTCTTTATTTTAAAAAAGAAGCAACAAGTAAGGCTTTACTATAAAATTTTGCATTTACCATGGTGGCATTTGATCAATCTTTTGTCCTTCTATAGTTATGTTCGTCGACACAGCCTGTATAAAAAGCTATTCCTTGGGACCGTGGTTGCTGTCCCGCTGGCTGTGGGTGCCATATTCAGTTTGTCAGATGCCCGTGACCGTAGGAGGATGAGGCTACTATTTGAAGGTGTTAGTCGCTTCTACAGGTGAGTAATGTAGTTGTTTTCTTTTTGTTGCATTTTAGGTTTTATTCAGTTGTTCTGAAAGCCCTGATATCTCCTCCTCCTTCCCTCAAGACATATGATCTCCCCTGGTTACAGTTTTTAATGTGTACACGGAATGTTTAGGGAACAAGGAGGAGGGGAATTCTAGGATTTTGACCCATTGACAATGAAAGGATAATGATGTGGTTTCAAGTCAGGATGGTGTGTGATTTGGGGGGGAATTTGATCCATGTCTGCTGCCCTTGTCCTTCTAAGTGATAGGAGTCATGGATTTGGAAAATTCTGACAAAGGAGAGTAGCAAGTTGTGCACTACATCTTGTACATACTGCCATCATATAGTGCATTGATAGTGGAAGGAGTGAATGGTGCAGGTGGTGAATGGGATAGCAGACAAACAGCTGCTTTGTTCTGGGTGGCGTTGATTTTTTTGTTGGAGCTGCATCCATTCAGGCAACCAGACAGGAATCCATCATAGAACATAGAACATAGAACAGTACAGCACACTACAGGCCCTTCGGCCCACGATGTTGTGCTGAACTTTTACCCTAAACCTAAGGTCTATCTAACCTCCACCCCTACCTTATACTATCATCATACCTTTTGACTTGTGCTTTATAGATGGTACTGGGGAGAGAATAGATGCATTACTCTCTGCAGAACTCCTAACCCCTGACCTGCTCTTATAGCCACTGTATTTGTGGCTGGTCCAGTTCAGTTTCTGATCTGGGTGAGTTGACTTATGACACTTCTGTTTTGTCTTGTTCTCCAGAATTCAATCCAGCAAGCATCCCTCATTTAAAAACTAGAACTGACAGTGTATTCAGACTTTTATTACAGGATTATCATGATTCAGTCTCTACCTGAAAAGGCACAGATCAGAATTGTGCTAAGCATTTATAGATATTTTCAACCTGTTCAGAATTTTTTTGTATCCCTTCACAGGATGTCAATAGTGGAACATCCAGGAAGCAATGATTTTTATTTTGATTTGATTTATTTTTGTTTTATTTATTTATTTATTGTATTTTGTTACAAAATGCAGTGAGAAGTTTGTGTAGTGTTGCCACTCTCTGGCGCCATCTTAAAACACACAAGAATAAACCAAAACATAGGCCAGCTCAGCATTTATTACCCATTCCTAATTGCCCAGGGGGCTGTTAAGTGTCATCCACATTGCAGTGGGTGTGGAATCACGTATAAGGTAGGTTAGGTAAAGACTGCAGATTCCTCCCCCACAAGACAGTGGAAAATCCCATCTGGTTCACTAATGATTGGCAACAGTTTCACGGTCATCATTAGACTCTTAATTCCAGATAACTACTGAATTCAAATTCTGTTGCTGCTGTGGCAGGATTCGAAGCCAGGTTCCCAGAATATTTCCTGGGTCTCTGGAGTAACAAGTCTAGTGGTAATACCACTAGGCTATCATCTCCTCTTATTACACACCTCTGGAGAAGCCCTGGGCCTCTGGGACACTACCACTGCACTACATTTTATACTCTGAGCTATTACACACGCTCATGTTTCGAAGTATATATTTTACACGCTGAAGTCTGCAATGTAGAAGAGATGCTAAGTGCTTTTACAACAGATTATGAATGTATCATGTTAAATTTTAATTTTTTTAAAATTAGGAATAGGAATTGACCTTAGGGTCCATCAATCCTGTGTAAAAAGATCATTGCTAAACTTGACAGGAAGCAAAGTTTTTAAGTCCTATCTGTGTGTCTCTCTATTTTCTTAGTGGCCAAAGATCAATCAATTTCACTCTTAAATGCACTCAACAACTTAGCTACCACAATTTTCTGTGATTCACCATTCCAAAAATTCACAAAACTGAATAAAGAAGCTTCTCATCTCAGTCCTAAATGCCTGGCCCTTAGTCTGAGACTGTGATTCCTATGCTTCGATGCTCAACTAAGGAAAGAGCCCCTCAGCAACTACCTTGCCTAGCCTTCGAGAAATTTTATGTTGTGTTACGATCACTTCTCACTCTCCTAAACTCCAGACCAGATTGAGCCCAAGGACAGCCTTCATCTCAGAAATTAATTTAATGAATTTTTGTGGCATTGCATCTCTCTGGTGAGTAAAATAGATTAAGGCAATACTTGTGTATAGAAATAAAGATCTTTTGCAGGAGCCTCATCAAGCAAATTTTGGCTCCGAGTCATTCAGGTAGGTGTTGATATAATAATAATGTCACTGGATTAGTAATCTAGAGCCCCAAGCTAATGTTTGGAGGCATGTCTTCTAATCCTACCATAACAGATGGTGACATTTGAGTGTTACAAAAATCTGGCAGTAAAAAGCTAGACTGATAGTGAAGTATATCTGCCAGTGGTAGGACAGTAAAAATGAGCTACTCAAAGACCAAAGTTAAAGGGCGATCAATGTCTTGGAGAGGTTTGAAGATAGATGAGATTACAGAGGCGGAAGGGGTGAAACCATGAAGAATTTGAAAATGAGTGAGAATCTTAAAATGAAAATTCTGCTTAACTGTGAGCCATCGAGTCATGGAATACAGCACAGAAACAGACCCAGCATTTGGCCCATATCCCTCTAAACCCTTCCTATTCATGTACCCATCCAGATGCCTTTTAAATGTTGTAATTGTGGCAGCTCATTTCATATACTCACCACCCTCGGTGTAAAAACGTTGCCCCTTAAGCCCCTTTTATATCTTTCCCCTCTCGCCTTAAACCTGTTTTGGACTCCCCTATGATAGGAAAGGGACCTTGGCTATTCTCCCTGTCCATGACCGTATAAATTGTATAAACCTCACAGCCTATTCAGCCTCTCCCTATAACTCAAACCCTCCAATTCTGGCAACATCCTTGTAAATCTTTTCTGCACCCTTTCAAGTTTAACAACATCTTTTGTATAGCAGGGAACCAGAATTGAACACTGTTTAGGCCACTTTTGGGAAACTGTCCTGTACAGCCATTACATGACATCCCAACTCCTATACTTAATGCAGTGACCAATAAAGGCAAGCGTACCAAACAGCTTCTTCACCAGCTGTCTACCTGTGACTCCACCTTCAAGGAACTATGTACCTGCACCCCAAAGTCTGTTTGCTCGGCCGCACTCTCCAGGCCCTACCCTTTAAGTCCTGCCCTGATTTTCGTTACCAAAATCCAACACCTCACATTTATCTAAAGTGAGCTCCATCTGCTATTCCTCGGCCCATCTGACCAAGGTCCCATGATGACCTTCTTCACTGTCCACTACTCCTCCAGTTTTGGTGTCATCTACAAACTTACTAACCATTCCTCCTATATTCACATCCAAATCATTTATACAAGTGACAAAAAGCAGTGGACCAGCACCGATCCTTGCAGCACACCACTAGTCACAGGCCTCCAGTCCAAAAATCAACACTCCACCACCACTACCACCCTCTGTATCCTATCTTCAAGCCAGTTTTGTACCCAATTGGCTGGCTTTCCCTGGATTCCATGTGATCTAACCTAGTTAACCAGTCTACCATGCAGAATCTTGTTGGCACCTTGTTGAAGTCCGTATAGACAACATCTACCGCACTGCCTTCATCAATCTTCTTTGTTCCTTCAAAAACTCAATCAAGTTAGTGAGACATGATTTCCCCCACACACAGCCATTCTAAGACTATCCAAATCAATCTTTGCCTTTCCCACTACATGTAAATCCTGTCCCTCAGAATTCCCCTTTAACAAAATGTCCACCACTGACTTTGGGCTCACCGATCTATAGTTCCCTGGCTTTTCCTGGCCACCGTTCTTAAATAATGGCATGACATTTGCCACCTTCTAGTCTTCTGGCACCTCACCTGTGGCTATTGATACAAATATCTCAGCAAGGGGCCCAGCAATCACTTCCCAAGTTTCCCACAGAGTTCTGGGATACACCTGATTAGGTACTGGGGATTTATCCACTTTCATGCATTTTAAGATGTCCAGCACCACCACTTCTGTAATATGAACATTTTCCCAGATATTGCTGTTTATTTCTCCAAGTTCTCTAGCTTCCATCTCCTCCACAGTAAATACTGACGTGAAATACTCATTCAGTATCTCACCCATCTCCTGCGATTGCACACGTAGACGGTCTTTTTGATATTTAAGGGGCCCTATTTTCTCCCCAGTTACTCTTTTGCCCTTAATGTATTTGTAGAATCTCTTTGGATTTTCCTATGTGCCAAAACTATCTAATGTCCACTTTTTTCCCCTCTTGATTTCCTTCTTGAGTACACTCCTATTGCCCTTATACTGCTTGAGCAATTCACTCAATCACAGCTGTATGCCTCCTTTTTCTTGACCAGAGCCTCAATTTCCCTGCCATCCAGTATTCCCTATACCCACTAGCCTTGCCTTTCACACTAAAAGGAACATATTGCCTCTCGAATCTCATTATCTCATTTTTGAAGACCTTCTGCTTTCCAACCATCCCTTTAGCTGAAAATAGCCTGTCCCAATCAACTTTTGAAAGTTCTTGCCCAATACTGTCAAAATTGGCTTTCCTTTAATTTAAAGTTTAACTTTTAGATCTGGCCTATCACTCTCCATAACTATTTTAAAATTATTAGAATTATGATCACTGACTCCGAAGTGCTCCCACTTGTGACATCAGTCACTTGCCCTGTCTTATTTCCCAAGGGAGAGTCAAGTCTTGCTTCTTCTCTAGTAGGTATGTCCACTTACTGAATAGGAGAATTTTCTTGTACACACTTAACAAATTCCTCTGAATCCAAGCCCTTAACACTATGGGATTCCCAGTCTGTTTGGAAAGTTAAAATACCCTACCATTATAACCCTATCATTCTTACAGATATCTGAGATCTCCTTACAAATTTGCTTCTCAATTTTCTGCTGATAATTGGGGGAGCCTATAGTACAATCCCAATAAATTGGTTATCTTTTTCTCATTTCTCAGCTCCGCCCAAATAACTTCCTTGGATGTTCTCCCAGGAATATCCTTCCTAAGTACAACTATGATGTTACCC